GTGCATAATATAAAGCAAATTTTCACATATTGTTATAAGAAACAACATTTTGTAATACATGTGAATAAATAAATGAATATTTGGTGATGAAGAAAATCCAATACCATACTAAATGTATCAAAATTATGCATAGAACCATAAGAACAACTCTACCTGAACCTCTCCCAGGAGTTCTCCAGTCCGCTCCAGCACCAAGAATAAACTCATTGTGGAGTTGGGATTAGCAAGAGAAATTTTGCTCTGATTGAGAAATCTCACGACGCCAAAAGGAGAGTCATTCTTGGTAATTGTGATTCTGCTCACTAGGTGGCGCCCAAGGACCGCTCCACCGGTAGCTCCTACCAGCAGAATTTCAATGGGCTCTGCAAATTCACTGCATAGCAAGAAGAAGCAATTCTGTGAGTCTAAACATATTAACGTGCTTCTAAAATCCAAATAACTACTCATTTTCCAAATTGGTCATACATATTCAAGGCACAGTATTACACAGCAAGTGGTTAAGAAGAGGGTGCTCAGCTAAAAGCATGAATGATCAACTTCAATATCATATAACTGATAGATTTTTTTATCCCCTTTTTAATTGCTTAATGTATTAAGGAAGTGCAGTGCAGGATATGCCCACATTTTCAAATCTAAAGGGAAAAATTGTTTCTTCCTGTTTGAAAAAAATTACACAGATTATTATAGTTTGCCATTCCCTTTTCTATCATTTTCCAGCACAAAATATTCTAAAAGTTTCCTACTTATTTTTTCACGGCATTAATTGTGCTCAACTGTTTTTGCAATACAAATACATTTGTTTAAAATTAAAGGTTTTTCTGTTTGGAGGTTTCTCAAACTGCTAAATATAGAGCTTCCACATGACCCAGCAATCCCACTCCTAGGTATCTACCCAAAAGACACAAAAACATTGATTCAAAAAGAGACCTACAACCCTCATGTTTACTGCTGCTTTATTTACAATAGGAAGACATGGAATCAACCCAAATGCCCAAAAGTAGATGACTGGGATTAAAAAGATGTGGCACATATACACAATGGAATATTACTCAGCAATCAAAAAGGATAAACTCGTGCCTTTTGCAGCAACATGGATGGAGCCGGAAGGGATCATGCTTAGTGAAATAAGCCAGAAAGAAAGAAAATTACCAGATGGTTTCACTAATAGCAGGAGGATAAAAGGCCAGGGGTGGGGGTCGGCGATGGGGGTGATAATAATAGCGAACAACTATATACCAGAGACATTTTACAGGAGTGGAGAGGGGAATGAGAAAAAATGGGGTGGGGGAGGGAAGTGCACTGGACTATGGTGATGGCACACCATTTGGTGATGGGAAGCCCATAGGGATGAAAACTGAGATGGGAAAAGGCACACAATGATGTAAACATTAACTATTATTAAAAAAAATAATTGAAGGTTTTTGGCAACCTTGGACAGACAATTTTTGTGTGTTTCTAACAGTGTGCTCACTTTGTGTTTCTCTGCCACCTAAGATGAAGGTATGTGCATTGTTTACTTTGACTGGTCTTCTGCTCACCTACTAGAGTACAGACATGCATAGCTCATTCTGTTCAATGCCAGACCTCAATCACAACAATGCTACCAACAATGCTGGCCAACAGCCCAGGTGTGGGACAGGCTACTCTGTGCAGATCTATGTAGTTACAGTGACATCTGCACCCAAAGAAACCTATCTCAGACCACACCTCCATCACCGCTGCATGACTTCATAGTGCACACTTAGTCTTCATATGCACAGGGAAACCCCAAAAATTGTGTGGCTCACTTGATTGTCGCATTGACATTATCATGGTAGTCCAAATAAAACCAGCAGTCTCTCCAAAGAGGGCTTGTAATCTAAAATCCTATTAACAGTGAAAACATAGCTAAGGACTGGAACACAATTTTTCACATTTCACATGTGCCCATATTTCTGGTTACAATAAATTACCTTTCATAGTCATTAATGATGGAGAGATTTATAAAACTTAAGTTCTGCCCATGCTGAAAGGTGACTTCACTACCATGCAGGATGTAATTAACACCACCAGGAGCTGCAGAGGAACTCTGAGAAGTAAAATCAGCTGTCACATGGCCGTAAGTTCCACGCAGCCTAACCACTGGAATCATTATCACCCCAACATCTTCCTCCACTGTAATGGGAATTTGAAAATTAAGTAGTACACAAGACAATGCAACTAGAGAGATTCAGTCAAACTAAACCAGGCAATTAAACATATGGCACAAGGCAAGCTTAACATTTTTCCAGAGTTCATTTATCACTTTGAAAAAATGATTAGTGAAGCTTCATAACACTTTTTAGGAGGATCATAGTTTGTCATAAGTTGAAAATTATAGTGAGCAGTGTAAGTTAAAATTTAAAAGGTGTATGCAATTATTAGATTGAAATTCCTCCTCTACAAATAAATGACCCCTGCTTTCCAAGACAATGCTACATGCATATGAAAATCACTTAAAATATGTGCGCTCAAATGAAACCAATTCTTCTACACATTTAGCTGTTATATAAGAAATGAAAAATGATGTTCACCCTATTTAGATCTTATGTCTTCAAAGCCCAAACATTAAAAAAAAAATCTGTATTTTTTTATGAAATCAAGTTAAGAATCTGAAAACGGAGTACTTCCTGGTGACAGAACAGGATTAAAGCACAGCACTATGAAGCTATCACAGCCACTGAAGCAAAGTTCAAACCCCGGCCAGGGAGGTGACCCACACAGTGTCACAGACCTCTCCTCTACTGCCCACTGCTCCCCTCAGCAGTGTATTTCAGTCCATTTGCCTGTTCTGCTCCCCACTCTGTCTCTGGTGAATCCTCTCACCCCTGGCACCTCTGGCCTGCACCCCAGTTCTATATGCATAAATAAATAAATCTTAAAAAAAAAAGGAATCTGAAAATGTGCTGTCTTTGTAATTTTACTTTAAAATTCTCTGCGAAATTCATTTATTCTAAATCTGTTAACCTTAGTTTATTAAAATATCATTGAACAGAGTTCAGATTAGCAATGGGTAAATAATAGCAAACTCATAAGAAAGCATGTCCCAAATCCCTTCAAAATAGAGTCACCAGGGCCCTCCCTGGTGGCGCAGCAGGTTAAAGCACAGCACTATGAAGCTAAAGCCACTTCAGCATGAGCTCAATACCCAGCCAGACAGGAGACCCACATGGTGTGGCAGACCTCTCCTGACCTGCCTATTATTCCCTTCAGAACTATACTTTGTCAGTCAGCCTGTTCTGCTCACCGCTCTGTCTCTGGTGAATCACCACCCCTGCACCTCTGGCCTGTACCCCAGTTCTGTATGTATAAATAATTAAATCTTTTTTAAAAATGATAGTCACTCAAATAGTAAAGAAGAAAAAAATCCATGTCCTCTTTATTTTTTGGAATAAAAATGTTGCATGACTTGTAGTGACTGTGGACTGAATTCCACCAAACAGTGATGTCTTCTATGACTTTACTCATAAACTCAATATAAATAAATTCCTACAGAGGTTTTTGATTGCTTTATAACAAAAGCTGATGAATTAATTACAAGAAGATAACATGCTTATTTGTAAAGATAAATTCAAAGTGCCTTGCAATAAAGTCAGAAAGTAGCCATCTCTTACTACCTAGGAGGAATGTAGCCAAGCATTCTATATTTTGCTTTTGCAGAAGATAATATTCAGCAGCTGCTATTAAAAATTTTCCAGAAAACATGATTAGGAATTCTGATACAACCTGCACAATTCAGTAAAACAAGTCATTACAAAGATGATTCATTAGATTCATTAGAAAATTAATATTCATTAACTTCTAATAACAAAGGAATTTACATATTGCAGAAATGATATTCATTAAAAAGTCTAAAATATAAACATTTCAGTAACCCTAAAATTGAACCTAATTTTCTGTATTGCTTCAGTCCTAGCCATTCAATTTTGGTATATACATCCAAGTTTCAAGACTACTCCAAAACACTCAAAATATACTTTTTAAATACATAATGTATGTACACACACACAGGCATACACTTACATGTGCATGTGTGTGTGTGTGTGCAGGAAAATTTGTAAGTTAGGTTAGTGAACCTACCTTCAAATGCAGTATACCTTGGGTCAAATTCAATAATGCCCTCTGCATTATCATTTTTCATTATTATGATTCTGACAATGGAGATATTTCCTATTTCGGGAGGTTGATCCATCTGCAGTCCATTTTCTTGGATAGTAAAATCATACCCTCTTGCAAAGTCATAAAAAATAAAATAAAAAATGAGTACATTATTGCTTAGCATTAATTTAATGGTTCTCGTAAGTCCCATAAGAGTCTCCATAAGTATTGTAATTCTTTTAAAGATCCTCACTGCTAAAACCCTTTTTTTCTGAAATGTTTGAAACAGATTTCTGTGGCACTCCCATTGTGCTGCCTACATGAAACCAAAGCTAATGTAACGCTATAAAGCTTAGGCTATGGAATGATAACTGAAGTACTAGGAAACGGGGGCAGAGATGCTGGAAAATAAACCTCTGGGAACAGAGCTAGACCAGAGAAGGGAATGTTCGTGCCTACTACATGCAAAAGCATGAAACCATTACAATTGAGATAGGAAAAAAAAATGTGCAAAATGATGTAAAAATAAACTTTTGTAATAATTAAAAAAAAAAAAAAAGCATGAAACCAGAGGGGCTTGCCACTTGCAAAGTTGAGAGAGCCACTTTCCAGAAATAGTGTAACGTCAATAGACATTTCAAGCTAAACCATCAAGATTCAAGACAATATTTCAGATTCTGTAGAAACCAGTTATAATCAATGCCTTTATTCTTTAATAATAGACGTAGTTTACTTGTCTAGTGACATATTTCTGCTGTGAAAGTTTTTTTTTAAATACTATTCCCACCAAAGAAAAATGTTCTATATCATTTTAATTTCTGGAGCTGGACAATAACTCTAAGCCAGTTAGTCCTTCTTTCACTTACTAAATCTATATAACTGGTATTTTTACCTTATTTAGTTTTGGAAGATTGATAGTTGGTTAATAAGATTATAAATAAGGCACAATTAGAAAACTGGGGATTAGAATATTACAGAAGGGTAACATCAGTAGTCTTAGGTGGGTTTTAGATTTACAAATTATCGTAACTGAACACCAGCGCAAGAAACTTTCAATCAACAAGGCAAAATGGGTTTAAGGGACTTTACTTTTCAGACCAAAGAAAGTCTAGAAATATATCTGAGTGGAAAAACTTGTTTCTCCACAATTAAACTTAAATAACAATTACTATTTTATAGGGTAGCACAGAGGACAAAAATCTCCAAGTTCTAGTTCATCAATAACAGGTATCTCACATTTAAGAAATTGCTTTTTTAGTGAAATTTGGGAAGAGTTGTCAGCTCATATCCTAACACATTTAATGTCTATCCAAATTCACTCCCCTCTTAAGGTCACACAGTCATTTTGAGAAAATTTAAGATTACAAGAGTACACAAATCCACAGTATTTTTCCAAATGGAACCATACATATGCTACCCTAACTCATTCAGTGAAATTTATTTTCATTACAATGTAGTTTTTATAACATGGTATTTATGTAAGAAACATTTTCATGCACAAGAAAAACTCCTCTACGTCTTCTAAAAATGCAAACATCATTCTAGTCAAAGGTTCTGTGCAGGCTCTTGGGGCACAGATGCTCCCGGGAGTGGACATTTCAGCGAGCTAAGGGGTTTCCACCCTGGCTAAACATGTGGGCTCCATGATATTACATCACAGGGTCTCTTAATCCCCAATGAAAACATGGAGCCCACTCACCAGCAGGCTCACTGCCTCAAATTTATCCTGGATATTAAAACTGCTATTAGGCAGGTTTCCAATTCATTCATTCAATCACAGACAAGATGATAGAGAGAGACCACAGAAAGAAACTTCTCAATCAAGTTCTTCCCCACAGAGATAAAGAAAGGGAGTAAGGGCCCTCCCTGGTGGCCCAGCGGGTTAAAGCACTGCACTGAGAAGCTTAAGCCACTTCCTCATGAGTTCGATCCCCGCCTGCCCCAGAGGAGATCCACATGGCGCGGCAGACCTCTCCTGACCCGCCCGCTGCTCCCCTAAGCAGTGTACTTCGTCGATCTGCCTGTTCTGTACCCCACTGTCTCTGGTGAATCCTCTCACCCTCTGCATCTCTGGCCTGTACCCTAGTTCTGTATGAATAAATAAATAAATCTTCAAAAAAAAAAAAAAAAAAGAAAGGGAGTAAAGTCCACACACCAGCTGACCTGTGACCAGGAAAGTCAACTCTATCTCCTCACCAAATTACTACACCCCCATATCGGGTTCAACTGGATTCACTCTGGGCAGTCAGACCAACAACAGAATCACACACTTCAGGAGAAAAAAACTACGTGTCACAACATGGCCTCATAAGAGGTAGCCTTTGCCATCGTTTCCTACTAGGCCTTGCTCTAAGGTCACCTAAAGTTGAGCAAGAGCCGGGAAAGCATTGTTTGCAGTTCAGGCTGAATCCCCACACAATGTAGCCTTTGTCTCACCATCCTCTGCTTTGGCTTCCAAGTGTCTTTTTTCCTCACCTTCCCAGCAGTTCCACCTTTGTAATCATCAGGGAAAATTCCTCAGGGCCTTCAGGAAGGTCATCATCAAGTATTTCCACATACAGGCTTTTCATCGTCTGCCTTGCTTCAAAGAGGAGCTTGCCAGATGCAGGGCTAAAATCCAAGCCAGCCTCCGCTGTGCCACTCACGGTCTCATAATACAGCCTCACGGAGCCCCAAGAGCCTCCTGAACGGAAGACTGGGATGCTCACCTATGCAAGAAGCAGTATCTTACCGATTTGGGTATCATCTACTGGAAAAGCCTTACTTAGTATTGTCTTTTAGCAAAGAACTGTTCAGAGACTGTTAAAATGACATAAGTTTATGAAAATAGATGAATTATATGTGAACATGTCAGCATCAAATTAATCAATTTGTGAAAACGTGGAATATGAGTGTGTTTGAATGATCACTTACAGCATAAAAAGTAAGAACAACATTTCACACGCTACCTTTTGTGCTTTCTCTGCTACTTGAAGCTGCTCTTGGGAAAAGGCAAAGCACCCATAGGGAAAGTCGCTGGCCACCACAGTGATGTTCGCAGTGCTGCTGGATTCACTCAGGATTCCGCCCTCACTGATTCCAGTGAGCTGAAACTCATAGAGACTCTTTTCCTCAGGAATGTCATCATTCAAGGTCTAAACAATGAGAAAAAGACACTGGCAGCAGAAACCATGGCAGTTAAGCAAAATTACCTATCACAAAGCAACAACAGAAAAAAACTATTAGGCACCACACAGAGAGCAAAGGATAAATCAGAAGCCAGTTACACTGCTACCTGTATCACCACAATCGCAGCAGACTGTCCATCTCGCATCATTATTTTTCCCATTGTTTCCACAAATTTCCCGACGGAGGGTGGAATTATCCTCCAGTACACAGTGATCTCCCCCCAGATCGCTGGGCCACGAACAAGACTACAAAAGTGTATATGCAGTAAGTTTCTACTAAAGGATTTTCCCTATTTGCTGTTTTCAACAATAAATATTTTTCATTTATTTTAAGAACATGCATTTAAATAACTTTATCAACAATAAACGGAAAAAAGTCTTATCATTCCAAGACACTCATTACAAAAATACTAAACTTTACATGTAAATCTGCTTGAGGAGGGTACTAGCTAAAGCTAACACTGCAAGTGGAAAGTTTAAAGGGATTTCTTTCCTTCTAAAAAATATTTTTTTAATTCATACATGAACTGGGGTGTAGGCCAGACGAACGGGGGTGAGAGGATTCACCACACAGGGTGGAGAGCAGAACAGATGGAGCTACTGAAATAAACTGCTGAGGGGAAACAGCAGCTGAGAAAGGAGAGGTCAGCTGCGCCTTGTGGGTTACCTCCCAGGAGGGGGTTCAAACTTGTGCAACTGTGGTTAGGGATAGTTGATTGCACTGAGACTTTAAACCCCTGCACCACCAAGAGAAATCCTAAAGGGATTTCTTTTTAAGTATTTACAGTTCAGTATTTATAAATTGATACAAAAGTAAAAAAAATAAGAATAGCCTAGCAAAATCCTCTAAAGAATAAACATTTCATATTTGCAAAGCTAGTGTAGAAACTGTCAAAAAGATCAACTGATTAAGTCAAATTCAGCTACTTCATTGAGAGTTGCAAGAAAAATCTATGATACATGATGTTGCCTATGATCATACAAATTTAGTTATATATAGGCTCTGACCCCCCAAACAGTTAGGATCATAAAATATGTGATCCAGATGATTTTCTAAAGGATGATTTTTGAAGCTGAGACACACAAGCTTACAGAGATTAAGGAACTTTTGTTTTATGTGGTTAGTGACAGAACTGGGTCAGAAGCACATATCTCCTGCTGTCAATGCAACGTGTATTTCTTCACATAAGTTGTGCAAATCACTTGAGAAGCAGTCAGAAGCTTCAAGATAATTCAAGACATTGAAGGCACAGTTTTCAATTTCTAGCAAAAGTTTGCTCTACTCTGAACAAAATGTTGCCGATTTATACAGCATCCAGTTTGAAGAATATGTTTGTATTAAGAACACTGGATCTAAGATATAGGAAATGCTATAATAGATTACTTTAATAAAACTGAAACTACCTAGGCAAAGAGAAACTCTGAAATCCTTACCTGATGACAGCAGTCCCATTGTGTTTTGCTGAGGGTTCCCCAATGAGGACATGCCTTGATGAGGGTGCTATCCCAACTTCTCCTGGGGCTCCCTTACCTCCCCGGATGATTATTGATGCACTGCCTACATTGAAGATGACATTTTCCACTTACACTGAAGACACTGTGACAGACAACTTACCCAAGATTGCATGGTTTCTAACAGATACATACAATGAATTCCTTCATACTGATAAACTATTTACCATGATCACCTGATATGTTAGTTTTGTGTCTAGTTACTCTATACAGGGTCAACCTCAACACTGCATGTAATGTAAACACTTAAGCTAATATAAGACTTATAGAAGAAAATGGTGTGAAAACATGATTCCTTCACAAGCTTGTTGGAACGAACACAAGAAAAAACACAATTCCTCTCTCTCTCCAAATCTAAGAAACAAATCTTCTCAGTGTAATGATTCACTCTACAATTTTGAGAATTTCCTGGGCCACAAAATTCTTTTTGACTGTTACATAGGATGAACTTTTCGATGGCAAAAATAAGCCTATAATTGTAAATAAGTCTTCATATCAAACTTCCTGGACCACCTTTATTGTTATTATTGTCTATAGCACAATGAAACCATTTTAAAACTAGTAATCCTTTCTTTCCAAAACTATGAAAGAAATCATCATATACACCATTGGCTGATAAGAATTATGATGCATGTTTCTGAAATGTCAAAATATCGAAATAATTCCAGATGAAAATAGGTATAGATAAGCTGAAATGTAATAATGCTTGGCTTTAAAATAACATTTAAAAAGTATTATGTAAACAAGTATTTTATAACATTTAGGTATCAAAACCATGATTAAAATGTCAAACAGATTTACAATCTACGAATGACAAAAAAAAAAAAAACGGGATCACACTGTACATATTAAGTTTTCTTAATTAACATAACAATTATCCATGTCATTAAGTGTTCTTAATTTGCAATGTAATTAAGATTCTTTCTACCATGTCCTTTTAAATAGCTGCATAGCATTCTGCCAAACATAATCAGTCACCCTGGTGTTGTTTCATTTAGGAAGTACCCATATTTTATTTTATAAATGTTGTTGCAATAAACATCTCTTAAAAAATATTCACAGCTAAATTATAACTTTTGACAGGTGATCTTACTGACACTGTAATTTTAGTGTGATAATTCTTTGGCCACAATACAAGTGGAAATTACAGCCATATGGTTTAGGAAACATTTTAAGAGTTATAAAACCTAACATGGCCTACCTTTGTAAATATGGACCACTGGATTAAGGTTTTCCAAGGATTTAATTATGGAGAAAGTTTTAATTTCCAAGAACATGAATTTCACTTACCCTTTACTGGAGAGATTTCTACTTCATCAACTGATATTAGCTGAATGGTGAAATGCCTATCCTCCTCCAACATGGTGTCCTGAAGTGTATGCAATACAATAGTTTTCTGGGACTCTGTCTACATCAAATGGGAAGGATAATGAATTTTTCCAGATTAGTCACAGCCAGATTTTGAACATTTCTCACTAACTAAACAGTGTTTATGTCCATAAATATTTCATAAGTATGGTCTTTGTTGTCTAGTAGTACGGGTCGCTTCTAGTACTTAAAAATAGCTCTGATGATAAAATGTATTAGGTTCTAAATAGAAAAATTTAATACAAGCTTTAAATTAACTGAAAATGTTTACCATTGAAAGCCAATCTCTTAGAGTTAAATGGTGACAATATGATATAAATAGACCAAAATAATAGGCTTAATACTTGTAAAAGTTATCTTTCTAGTACCCATTTATTTTTTTGCCCTTTACCAGCTTTGGACTGTTTAGAAACCAAAAAGAAACAAAAGCAGACTCATCTTGAGTTAACTGATCCTGAGCTATAAGAGAAAGGACAGCTGTTACCCGATGGAGGTATACATCTGGCTAGGCTGGCTATTTTTGTCCTCAGCCACCAGAGGCCACATATGAACTGAAGAATGTGACCTCAAACACTGAAGGTTGTTGAAGTGTGTGCACACACGTTTGTGGATTTTCCCACTGGTACATATGATTTCAAAAATTCCAGATGTAGTGGAAACTATTATATGAAATCATAAGTAATGTTACAGATGGAAATCAAAGACAAATTAAGAAAAAAGTTAAGAGTATATGATATAAATAGACCAAAATTTGATGTTGTGTACACCTCATCAAAATGAATTGTTCCATTCAAAGGCCTGAGATCATCTTTAGCCATCTCATCCACAGTCCACTGAAGTCGGACAGCTCCTTTTCCTCCAGGGGAACGCACAACTGTCAATGTCACATATGAATCAGGATCATCTGACAAAAGGGATTCTTTGACCAATACCTGAAAGAAAGAAAATCCAGTGGGGTGAAAAAAAGGAGCAGAAAAACAACAGAAATTTGATTTTATTTACAATGACTAATTTCTTTAAGTTTAGAGATCTATTCAAGGTGAGTTACAATCATGTGGCAGAAAAAAAAAAAGGTTTCACCATATCAAGTCTCCATATTTGGTCTACAGTTACTCAAGATATCTTAGTCTATCTTGCAATTAGGTAGAGAAAGGGACTGATTTGTCACCAACAGAGTATAAGCAGAAGTGAAGTATGCTACTAACAGTCTGGACAATCCTCATTAATGCCATCTTCTCTCACCTACTAAATGACTAGAGGGGACTCCCAGGACATGGAAGAGGAAAGTCACATGATGGAAAGTAGCTGGATTCCAAGATGCCAACCAGTTGGAGTGAAGGAATCTGTAAGAGCCTTAGGTGGGAGTCTTACAGACCCCAACTAGGGGTCTGACATGAAGAAGAAACAAACTTTTATGAAGTCAAGGTCATAAGACTTTAGGGTTCTTTGTACGTAGTGAAGTTCACTAACATATATAAACCTAAAGTGCCCTGTAAATTATCTGTAGTTCTTCAACTTTAGTAAGTCCAAATTTAAAGAGATTTTATTAACACAAGAGGAGAGGAGTAAACTCAGTATGTTATTTTATCTGCACTATTGGTACAGAAAAATCCTTAAGATTGTTGGTTCAACTGAATTATTCAACTATATTAACTCTGAAGCAATGTGAATATTGAGATTATAGTATTTGTTATATAACCACAATAAATAATACAAAGCTTTCTATTTTCAAGACCCTTAAGATAATCATGTTTGGATTTTTTTCAGTATTTGCATTGGTGCCAAGAGAAGGAATTTTAGGTCGATAATATTTATAGAGCTTCTATTATGTGTTACATGGTGTATACACTTTATCTTATGTAAGTATCACAGAATTCTTAGAAGTATGAAGGTCATAATAGATTTGGAAGAGAAAAACCTCAACTCTGGTTCAGATTATTTTGACTCTAATGCCCAGTACCCAGTGCTATTCATCCTACTCCTTAGAGACCAGAAATATTAAATTTTAAAAAAAATCTATAACCAAAAAATTGTATACACCAGTTCTTTTTGTTTCTACAGATTTAATAACAGTTTGGGTTTCAAAGTACATTTCCATGAGCCTCTGCTATTGTCAGAGCTGTAGAACACTTAGCACACTGTCCCTGTGAGAAGCTAATTAGCTGACAGATTTGACTAAAAGTTTCCTCAATATTCTTCAATTCTATAGCTATTGTTTGACCAGCTAATGCTGACTGAATATCATCTGTGTGCACAGTATTGCATTAGGCATATGGTAAGAGGCAAAACATCAGCAATAAAAACGATAGGATATAAGAGAAGCAGACACAGAGGGCTGAACAACAAACCATTACTACCACCAACAATCCAAGTAGCAAGTCACACCTCTTGATGATAAAGCCCAATTTTGAGCTTTAAATGCGTCTACTCATTTACACCTTACAAGAGTTGTAGTGAGTGGGTGTCTTAACTCTCAGACTGTTAGACAAACTGGAAATTTGAGGCTTTTACAGTAATTCATGAGTTCCCACAAGGAGGGCAATGAAAGACTGTAGTATGAAAGCAGTATGAACACACAAAAATTATGAACAGAAATCTCTGCATTTTCCCTAACAGCAAAGAAACAAAGACATTGCCCAGTGACAAAGTCCAAAACGTAGCAATGTTAAAAGCAAAAACTTATTTTAATCGCTCACCAGCATTACTAAATGCTGAACCTTTTATCCAGTCTCAGAATTTGATTGACATTTTATAGAAATTACATTATATACTTATCTGCATTCAAAATCCAGATGGAAATACAATATGTCAATAATCTCCATCTCTGGATAGTATAATGTTATGGATAATTTTATGCTTTAACCATTATTTGTAATTCCCAAACTTTCTGGGATACATCCACATGTGCTCACTTGTGAACAAACCATGAATGTTATTTCTGTGTATTCCTTTCCCAAAGAAGAAAGAGTCTCATTAGCTACAGCCGAAGTATGCTCTTATGGGTTCCATATTTTTATGAAGTTGAAATTTCAGTAAATAGATCATTAGGCAATTATTAGGATATGTTAAAATTTTGGGAAGCCCAAGGGCTGGCAAGTTTTAGGTCTAGCTTCCCTTCCACACAACAGTATAGACAGTGGCTACTAGAAATTTGTTTATTATAAGTGATCTATGGAAATTGCTGATTACCTATGTAACTAAAAGAATGGTGAAACATGGAACCAGAGAAGTTACTGTATTAGAATTATCTAAATAGTTTTATGATTATTTCACCTTGAAATTCCTTTTAAAGTATAGTCAGCAATTTTGACATATCCATGAAGTAATAATTACAACAGAGTTTTAAATAAGGGATCGGGGGAAAAGGTAGTTATAATAAATTAAAAATCAAAACCAACAGGCAACTATGAATCAGACATTCTTCAGGAAAGAGGAGGGAGTAGGATTAAAACGGGGGTGTGAAGAACACATGGGACTATGGAGATGATGGAGATGGTGCATGAGTCAGCTGGTAGAGGGAATTTCACAGAGCCTACCCTTGAGAGGAGAAAACATACTTTGTACAACAATGAGTATGATGTAAAAATATAAAAA